TTTTTTGATAATCAAGACTTGCATTAATGAGAGAATCAACGATTACAGACGACTGTCAAGCCAAATAGCTTGAGAGATAAAGTCTGGAAATCCCTCCCACCACATTTGAATGGACTCAACTTCCCACGCATGCCTAGCTAGTTCATGTGCTATCCCATTCCCTAGTCTATTCACATGGCATATTTTGACATCCAAAAACGCAGACAACAGGCACCTAATATCAGCAATGATGGAGCCCCAAGGCAACAAACTAATGGACTCCTCGTCATTGAGTTGTGAAACAACAAATAGGCAGTCTGATTCAATGACTAAACGAGAGATGCCCATAGACATAACAAGCTGAAGCCCTCGAAGCACCGCCAGGAACTCTATCATTTCTGGATCAGCCACTTCCCATTCTCCTTTTGAGGCAGCCATTAGCACTGTTCCTGTTTGGTCTCTCAGAACAATACCTACCCCAGCTTCGTGAAGATGATGAAAGGTTGCCCCATCAACATTCAGCTTCAGGAAGTCTGCTGGAGGAGCCTTCCACGCACAGAATCTGTTCAACACAGATCCCGTCTGAGTTTTAACCCCTTTAAATAAATGTAGCATTGAAAGAGCATGTTCGATGGTAGAGCTCATATTTAAACTTTCACCTTCATAAAGTTTTTTATTTCTGCACAGCCAAATGCTAGAAACCACAGTAAAAAATAAACCCAGAGCCTCTTTCCCGCCCACTTGTTTAATCTGCATAACCACCTCAAACAGATCTTGGTTTCGGTCAAATTGGGATAGTCGAGGTAGAAACTTTGTCCAATAATCAACCAGAGAGGGGTAGCTCAAAAAGATATGATTTAAGTCCTCTGCCCCCGCTCCACAGAATACATTTCCCGGCTACTAGCAATGATGTCATACTTAAAAAAAGAAATGCAGTAATTTCTTCAAGCTGGAGGCAAATTTCTTTTTTTTTTTTTTTTGAAATGCAATTCATTAAACACCAAAGCAGCAAGAAACGGTTACAAGAAGAAGTTCCTCCAACACAATGCTCTCCTCGAAGAGATTAAGTGCTACCTATGCTAAAGCATAACTCAACTACAATGGCCATCCAAGGTACAAAAACACAAAAACAGAAGAAAACCAACTATCCACAAAAGCATCTGTTATGGTTGGAGCTCAACTTCAACCAATACAAGCTAAATTCCAACCACAATCACCACACAACTCAATATAATTAATAACACCAGCTGGAACTTCATTAACTGAACGAACAGAAATTATACAAACCCTATTTTATTGATTGATACCTTCTATTACAATGCAATGGAGTACCGGTAAAATGACAAATAGAAAAGTGGAGATATGGACCAGCAGAGAAGCTGAAAGAAGAGAGGAAGGAAGAATGCAGAAAAGTAGGATTCCGGCAAATAAACTTAAAAAACAGCAGAAGGTTCCAGTAGAAAAAAGAAGACAGAAAAGAAGGAGAATCACAGCAAGAAGGAGAAGGAGGACAGAGATATAGAAAGAAAGAGAGAGAGCTGGTAATAGAAGAGAAGGAGAATAACTGAAGAAGAAGAGGATAAACCTGGAGAAACCTGAAAGAAGACCGGAGAAGCAGGAGAAGACAAGGAAAGAAGAGGAAGCAGCCAAAGCCACAGTTCAATTCAATTCACACCTCCATTCTTCCAGCTTCAACCCTATATGAATCAAAACAAGGCTATGGGCTAGCCCACTATACAAGCCCAACTAGATATTATAGTAATGGCCCAAGCCATGACATCCCTTCCCCTTAAATTAACCTTACCCTCAAGGTTAAAGGTTTGGATGTCATCTCTTCATAGTTAGTTGCCTCATTCTCTTCACCATCCTTGGATTAAGTAGATAGTGCAAGGTGGCATATGCCTTGTTGACTTGACCTGCACCACTCTCTTCACCCTCCAGTAAGAAATTTTTATTCGCATGCCAAGATCCAGTAGTTGGTTCAGATTGCACCCCAGCAGTCAAACTGTCCATCTTGGTTGGTTCATATTGCACCCCAGCAGTCAAACTTTCCATCTTGCTTAGTAACTAGGTACCTTTTGGAAGTTCATCTCCCACGAAGAAAGGATTAGCTGTAGCTCCTACAAACAGGTTTGAAGAGCTATATCTCAAACCCATAATACCATAATCTTCAGAAGATACTCTTTGCTTCAAAAGCACTGGGAATAAGCCAAATGCTCCAAAAAACAATTTCTGGTAGTATGCGCAAGACCTCGTCAGTGGAATCGGCTCATTGTAGGACACAAAAAGATCGACGAACGTGTGAGGATCCTCAACATCACTGTGCCAGTGGAACCGTGCATTTCCAACAATTCTCTCTTCGGGCTTGTGATCAAGTGAACCAGCAACAGTAGCAATCAATTCAACATGCGGATCATCAACTGGCTTAACTGGAAGGGCACTCCAATACTCCTCTGCATTAGTACATTCATCAATACCTTCTATGGATCTTGTTATTTCAGCAGAGCTGGGGTCCAAAGGAAGCTTCGACTGAATATATTTATGATCTTTGAAATCTTCAATTGGGTTATCTTTTCTATATAAAGTTAGTAGCCTCCTCATTCTCGTCACCATCCTTGAATCAAGCAAGTAATGCAAGATGACACGTGCCTCATTAGCGACAATCTTCTTGATCAACCCAGTAACTCCGTACAATTCTGGTTGTGTACTCCAAAACCAGACTGAATCCAAAGAAATGAAAATGGAGACTGATGAAGCTGAATTCTCCGTTTCCAAGAGCATACTGCTAGACTTTCCATCAACAAGGTAAGATTCATCCTTGAGAGTTCTGAGTTTGAACTGACATTCCCAGTTCTGCATCTCCCAAACCACTGGCTGATATAATGCTTTAGTCTCCAGTTTATCACCATTGGCTACTCTAACTGTCCCCTTGCTTGTTCCATCGGTGACATATTTGGCTAATTTTTCCTCAACAAAATCGTGAGCACCCCAACTTTCAAAGAGTATGGAGACTTTCCTCCCTTTCATCACTCCTGGAACTTTAATGGTTTGGTGTTGCCACCTCCTAGCCAATGCATTAATAGATACCTCCATGATTTCCTCACCTCCTAATTTTCCTTCAGACTCATAGGCTTTATCTTTATTTGGTCGCAGTTGTTCAATTTTACTAAATGTTTCAACCACTTCTTCTTCAATAGTTTCTGAAAACCTCCTGCAAAGCTCATCAAAAAACAAACTCTAATTTGCTCCAGGGTGATTGGCAATGAATTCATAAAACCATATATAAGACTTCCCTTCCAAGTACTTCTCAACCATTCCTATCCTTAGTTCATCAGGAATCTGATGGAGTTGAAAGTAGTTTCTGGCTTTCATCAGCCATTCTCTAAGCCCTTCTCCACTGAAGTAAGGAAAATCTATCTTTGGGATTTTAGTGTTTACCTGGTAATCCAACTTACCACTCCCCTGTGTGAATGAGTTTCCTGTCCCAGAACTCAATAATCCACCATCAGAGGAAACTGGATTTGGGTGTCGTTCTATTTGGATCCCTTTACAGTTTTACTCCCAGTCAGTTGAGCTAACATCAACTTCATTTCCCCCATCATATGCACCATTGCGTCCTGTCTAGTACCAACAACCTGTAACATTTGCTCATTCGTTTTAAAAGCCACTCCCAAATTTGTTATTTCCTTATCCAGCCTCTTCAGGTGTTCCACATTTGCAACCATACCCAAATCTAACACTTTTCTATCTAACCTGTTCAAATGATCTTCATTTGATTTGCTTATAGTCTCAGCCATATCACCTAAGTCACATACTGCTCTGATACCAATTGTTATGGTTGGAGCTCAACTTCAACCAATACAAGCTAAATTCCAACCACAATCACCACACAACTCAATATAATCAATAACACCAGCTGGAACTTCATTAATTGAACGAACAGAAATTATATAAACCGTATTTCATTGATTGATACCTTTTATTACAATGCAAGGGAGTACCGGTAAAATGACAAATAGAAAAGTGGAGATATGGACCAGCAGAGAAGCTGAAAGAAGAGAGGAAGGAAGAATGCAGGAAAGTAGGATTCCGGCAAATAAACTTAAAAAACAGCAGAAGGTTCCAGCAGAAGAAAGAAGACAGAAAAGAAGGAGAATCACAGCAAGAAGGAGGAGGACAGAGATATAGAAAGAAAGAGAGAGCTAGTAATAGAAGAGAAGGAGAATAACTGAAGAAGATGAGGAAGAACCTGGAGAAACCGGGAAGAAGACCGGAGAAGCAGGAGAAGACGAGGAATGAGGAGGAAGCAGCCAAAGCCACAGTTCAGTTCAATTCAATTCAATTCACACCTCCATTCTTCCAGCTTCAACCCTATATGAATCAAAACAAGGCTATGGGCTAGCCCACTATACAAGCCCAACTAGATATTATAGTAATGGCCCAAGCCATGACAGCATCCCGATCCACAAGTTGTTGCCCCAAATCTGGTAAAGAACCAGGCCCCCAGCCACCATCCAGATCTGCTCCAAACACAACAATTAGATTCCACCGCACTGGAAGTGGTGAACACACGGGCCCAAATCATCCAAATAAAGGGCGGGGCGGATAGATAGAGAACAAAGCTGCAGAGGCATGAAAGGGAGAAAGGGGATTCAGAGTTGGGTGGTGGCCTGGTGATTCCCGGCGATAAAATTCGAACCGTAAGCGCAACACCATCCCCATAGGCCGAAAACACTCCCGATCCCAAACCAGTGCCACAACAGGCAGTACCCACAAGGGACACCAACCCCAAACTCGAACCAATGTCATGATCAGGAACGGACAATACCCCACACTAGGATAGAACCCCTACGGACTAGAAGTCGGAGAGGAAAAACTAGGACTCCAAGAGAGCCTAGCCAGAAAACCTCACCTTTGCAAGCAAAGGAAGGAGGAAGGCAAGAAAAAAAATGAGCAAAAGGAAAGATAAACAAGAAGGAAAGGAAATAAAGGAGGTGGCCGGACGAGCGGCACTAGGCCGCCCGCCAGAGGCGGAGCAAACTTACTGTAACTCGCTGAACTTCAAAAGGTTTTGGGGAGGCGGTAGGAAAAAGGGTTTTTGTCTAAAAATTAACTTTCAACTTATCTTGTTTTCAAGCTGGAGGCAAATTTCTAAAGTCTAGTAGTAACTTAATACACTACGAGTATGCTAGCTAATATAATGCTACTTTTTCATTGGGAATTTAATTGAGTGTCCAAAAATTAATACATATAACTTGTCAGCATCTGCATTAATTTTTTCCCCATTGACATGTGCCGTATGGCAGTTGGACTCACTTTCTTGACCACCTGGCTTAATAAGTTGGGAGAAGCCCCGACCAAGTGATTTCCAAAATCTCGTTTGAAGAGACGACTGCAAATATTCCATGCTCTTTTCATAATACAGTTCAACTTGCCTTGCTGAAGCAGTATTGAGCTCAGAAAATCTAACGGGTCCTAAGATTCTTTCTGGAAGCTCTGATTCAGTTTGTTCGATGAGAAAAGCTAACTCAACAGTAAGTCTACTTATGTAACCAAATGCTAGATGAACAATCGCATTTGCAACCACCGAAGAACCAATATCTATATCAACTTCAATAAAGTTTTCTCCTAAACAATACTTGCAAGTAACTGATCGACCAATAATGCAGATAGCCTGCTCTCCAACTGCTTTTCTCACAATCCATGGGCCTTTGACAATATTCGCGATCAATTTCAGTCTTGAATTCCTGAATCCATCATCCCCTTTTGGGAACTGATCCATCAGAGAGCCCTCGGGGATTGGTTCCATACCCACAAAATATACAACAGCACTGTAGTTTTCCTTACTTGGGACTTGCAAATTAAAGCCCAAACGAAAGGCTTTTTACAATCCTTCGAAATTTCATCATCAAGAGCTCTCCTAACACGGCTTTTTGTATAATTCAAGAGCTCTAAAATCTGCATTGGTCCTTTAATCCAGTCAAACCAAGAGGCCTGAGAAGATAATCACCACCAGGGATCTTAGCCTTTGTCGTTATATATTCAGGCCCTCTAACCTTGAAAACATCTCCAGAAGGAGAAGTCCAACCATTTGGACTGTGGTCTGGCTCAAGCAGTGGAACAGAACCTTCTGATTCACTTTTTCTATCCACCCATGCTCCTGATTTTCTTAAAGATTTGCCATAAGAAAGCTCCCGTCTTGAAATGATTGTGAAGCTGTCAAAGGCAGGAAAGTGAACTAACAAATCAAATGGTGCAGACATATGGAGCCAGTTCGGGAAACAATTTTTACAATAATCTAAGACCGATTCCGGTGATTGAAAAACTTCATTATCGATGCCAATTTGATGAGTTAGAAACAGAAAAAACCTTCAACATAATTCGTGGAGATCACCAAGTAAAGAAAGAACAAAGATGGCAAACAGGGAAATCTTCGATCAATGGATGAAAACAACTAAAATGTTTCACAAGAGTTGATTTATCAAAAAACCAATTAAACCATTCTGAAAACAAGAATCACGAAATGAAAACTATACAGTATCACATACAATAACTTAAACCTTTGATGAAGCTTCCAAATCTTCTGACTGGATGAAAG